TCTCGTTCTCTTGTTCTCCTATACGGCTATACCTGAACAGAATGATGAATCTCTAAACCCTTATCATTCTCATAGATTCATCTTTGAGATTCAGAGCGATTTCGATTTTGAAGCTCCACCGCCACCATCGTCTGCACCGGCTCGATTTAATCTGAATCTGTAATTTCAATTTCGATTTCGAAGCGCTATCGCCACCACCATCTGCACCGCCACCGCCACCGGCACTGCCATTTGCACCAATGAGGTATCGATTTCTCTCTCTCGCTCTCTCAAGCTCTTCCTTCCCGTCTCTTTTGATTTGGTTATTGAAATTGAAATTGTAAGCAAGAAACTACAAGTTGATTTGTGGCTTTCTTCTTTTCTTTACTCTCTGCTTCGTTGAACTAGATTTAAGTATTTGCTTCAAGTCCGGATGCGTGTGTGTGTGTGTGTGAGAGAGAGAGAGAGAGAGAGAGAGAGAGATGAGGAGGAGGAGGAGGAAGAGGAAGAGGAGTTGATTTGTGTCTAAACGCATCCTTTTCTAATTTGTTATGTTGAAAAAGTTGAAAGATCTCTGAATATACACTTACCCATATATACATTTACTTTCCTTTTTCAAGATTCTCTTTAGCTTGAGGTGCAGATCTCCAATCTCTTCACTTTCTCTACCTTCAAATCTTGTGTGTATGTATATTTGGATTTATTTGTGTATATTACATGTTTGTTTATATGCCAAACTCAAGTTGAAGTTCTCTATTTCTTGTTCTCTGTTAGATTTCTATTTTTTGTCCCTCTTTTCCTTGGGTTTTAGACATAAATAAGAAACTATAGACAAACGTTTCCAAAGATATGGATCACCTTTAAGAATTTTCAATTCATGGGTTGAATTAGGTGCACGCATGATGGTAATTGGCTAATAAAAGAATGTTGATTAAAGTTTAAACGATATTTTGTGGGGCTTTTTTCACTCCTGTCCAAGCCATAGAAGAGACTACCATGCTTTGTATTTACTCGGATTTTAGATTCCACTAATGCTTTTGATGTCTATTTTTTTTATTCACCTGGTGAATCTTTAACTTCTCTTGTAGCCCTAGTACTTGTTGAGAATGGTAATTTTTTTAAATTGAATATTGCATTCTCTTGGGTACTTAATTTTTTATTCACCAGGTAAATCTGTTAAATGTGTGGTGTAGCACTAGCATTGAGTGGTAACTTTTTAAAATTGAATATTGCATTCTCTTGGGTGCTTAATTATTTATTCACCTGGTAAATCTGTTAAATGTGTGGTGTAGCACTAGCATTGAGTGGTAATTTTTTAAAATTGAATATTTCTTTCTCTTGGGTGCTTAATTTTTTATTCAGTTGGTAAATCTATTAAATTTGTGTTGTAGCACTAGCATTGAGTGGTAATTTTTTAAATTGAAGATTGCTTCTCCCTTGATTTGCACACACAGTTTTTTATAGCAATGCTAGGTTTGACTGTTCTTAAAATATTTGTATTGTGTATTTAGTTTCTTGGTCTATGTTTCGGAAAAACTTTTACATAATAATTTCACGTTTGATTGATCCTTAACTTGCCCTTTGTACATGTTCATGGGCTTTTCAATGCTTTACTTGCCCCTCTCTATACAAGTTCCACGGTAATCCATTATATTTCATGTTCATAGTTGTTCACAAAGTTGGCTTTCAATTTCAAACTTAAGTTGCTTGTTTATACTAAAACAGTCCTGTCTTTTATTTGAAGTTCTGTTCTGTTGCAGCACTTTTGATTCTTATGGATCGGTTTTATTTATTGAAGGTTGAGTTCATTTCAAAATTTAGTGTAAGGGCAATCTGGCAGAGATGGCATGAATCATATCCGAAAGATGGGACTAAGGCAGATGATGCTATAATTGTGTTTACGGGAGTAAGTCTAGTATTTTATGGCATGAATTAAAATACTATGTTCTGTGTGGTTCAGTGATTGTCGTTTATATTTGCCAATTTTCTCACTACCTATGGCCCAATTTAGGGACTTTGTTTTTTTGGTTTTTTTTGTTTGGTTTTTTCTCATAAGGGAACACTTGGAACAAAGTAATATTTTATTTAAAAAAACAATGAAGCATTTATGACCCACAATGTGTTGATTCCAGATTTCATAGGATTGTCATAATGTTATTGTTGCAATGCTTTTTGTAATATGTAGGTTCTAACTATGTATACTCAATTGATACAAGGTTATGAAACAATGGATCCATAATTACAAGAGGCTTCTGCCTCAGCTGCGAGCAAGTTGCATCTCATGGTAATCGGCTTGCAACACCTTCTTTCTTAGGAAATTTTGATTACAAAATTTAAATAGGAATTAAGGATTAATATTAAGTGGTTTTTTTCCTATTAAATATTATTTTTTTAATATAAAATTGTAACTCTTCTATTGTGTAATACTGTTCTGTACAATCTCGTTCTCTTGTTCTCCTATACGGCTATACCTGAACAGAATGATGAATCTCTAAACCCTTATCATTCTCATAGATTCATCTTTGAGATTCAGAGCGATTTCGATTTTGAAGCTCCACCGCCACCATCGTCTGCACCGGCTCGATTTAATCTGAATCTGTAATTTCAATTTCGATTTCGAAGCGCTATCGCCACCACCATCTGCACCGCCACCGCCACCGGCACTGCCATTTGCACCAATGAGGTATCGATTTCTCTCTCTCGCTCTCTCAAGCTCTTCCTTCCCGTCTCTTTTGATTTGGTTATTGAAATTGAAATTGTAAGCAAGAAACTACAAGTTGATTTGTGTCTGAACGCATCATTTTCTTCACTCTCTGCTTCATTGAACTAGATTTAAGTATTTGCTTCAAGTCCGGATGCGTGTGTGTGTGTGTGTGAGAGAGAGAGAGAGAGAGAGAGAGAGAGATGAGGAGGAGGAGGAGGAAGAGGAAGAGGAGTTGATTTGTGTCTAAACGCATCCTTTTCTAATTTGTTATGTTGAAAAAGTTAAAAGATCTCTGAATATACACTTACCCATATATACATTTACTTTCCTTTTTCAAGATTCTCTTTAGCTTGAGGTGCAGATCTCCAATCTCTTCACTTTCTCTACCTTCAAATCTTGTGTGTATGTATATTTGGATTTATTTGTGTATATTACATGTTTGTTTATATGCCAAACTCAAGTTGAAGTTCTCTATTTCTTGTTCTCTGTTAGATTTCTATTTTTTGCCCCCCTTTTCCCTGGGTTTTAGACATAAATAGGAAACTATAAACAAAAGTTTCCAAAGATATGGATCACCTTTAAGAATTTTCAATTCATGGGTTGAATTAGGTGCACGCATGATGGTAATTGGCTAATAAAAGAATGTTGATTAAAGTTTAAACGATATTTTGTGGGGCTTTTTTCACTCCTGTCCAAGCCATAGAAGAGACTACCATGCTTTGTATTTACTCGGATTTTAGATTCCACTAATGCTTTTGATGTCTATTTTTTTTATTCACCTGGTGAATCTTTAACTTCTCTTGTAGCCCTAGTACTTGTTGAGAATGGTAATTTTTTTAAATTGAATATTGCATTCTCTTGGGTACTTAATTTTTTATTCACCAGGTAAATCTGTTAAATGTGTGGTGTAGCACTAGCATTGAGTGGTAACTTTTTAAAATTGAATATTGCATTCTCTTGGGTACTTAATTTTTTATTCACCAGGTAAATCTGTTAAATGTGTGGTGTAGCACTAGCATTGAGTGGTAATTTTTTAAAATTGAATATTGCATTCTCTTGGGTACTTAATTTTTTATTCACCAGGTAAATCTGTTAAATGTGTGGTGTAGCACTAGCATTGAGTGGTAATTTTTTAAATTGAAGATTGCTTCTCCCTTGATTTGCACACACAGTTTTTTATAGCAATGCTAGGTTTGACTGTTCTTAAAATATTTGTAACATGTATTCAGTTTCACGTTTGATTGATCCTTAACTTGCCCTTTGTACATGTTCATGGGCTTTTCAATGCTTTACTTGCCCCTCTCTATACAAGTTCCACGGTAATCCATTCTATTTCATGTTCATAGTTGTTCACAAAGTTGGCTTTCAATTTCAAACTTAAGTTGCTTGTTTATGCTAAAACAGTCCTGCCTTTTATTTGAAGTTCTGTTCTGTTGCAGCACTTTTGATTCTTATGGATCGGTTTTATTTATTGAAGGTTGAGTTCATTTCAAAATTTAGTGTAAGGGCAATCTGGCAGAGATGGCATGAATCATATCCGAAAGATGGGACTAAGGCAGATGATGCTATAATTGTGTTTACGGGAGTAAGTCTAGTATTTTATGGCATGAATTAAAATACTATGTTCTGTGTGGTTCAGTGATTGTCGTTTATATTTGCCAATTTTCTCACTACCTATGGCCCAATTTAGGGACTTTGTTTTTTTGGTTTTTTTTGTTTGGTTTTTTCTCATAAGGGAACACTTGGAACAAAGTAATATTTTATTTAAAAAAACAATGAAGCATTTATGACCCACAATGTGTTGATTCCAGATTTCATAGGATTGTCATAATGTTATTGTTGCAATGCTTTTTGTAATATGTAGGTTCTAACTATGTATACTCAATAGATACAAGGTTATGAAACAATGGATCCATAATTACAAGAGGCTTCTGCCTCAGCTGCGGGCAAGTTGCATCTCATGGTAATCGGCTTGCAATACCTTCTTTCTTAGGAAATTTTGATTACAAAATTTAAATAGGAATTAAGGATTAATATTAAGTGGTTTTTTCCCTTTTAAATATTATTTTTTTAATATAAAATTGTAACTCTTCTATTGTGTAATACTGTTCTGTACAATCTCGTTCTCTTGTTCTCCTATACGGCTATACCTGAACAGAATGATGAATGCTGAAATAATGGCCTAATTATTTTTTTTCCCTAATTCTAGATGTGTGGCTCCTCTGCACTCCTTTATCATGTTATGCAACAGTGGGAAACCATAACTAAACACCGCCTTTTAGAAATGATATGATATGACTGAGGTGTGTACTAGTTGTCTGCATGAAGTCCTTTTTGCAGGCTATAGGCTTCAAGGGGAAGGGCATTTAAAATTTTATTTATTTGGAGATATTCTGGCTTTGTTTTTTTTTTTTTAATTATTTGATATTTGTAGTTTGTGATGGCAATTTCTATTCCCTTGAGAGGCATAAAGAAAGGAGGCACTATTGGCAAACCAGTTCCAGGTGTGCAGGTTAGTGAGATTCATAATAATAGAATTCGACATTTGAAACAGCTTCACCATAGATCATTAGCACCATTCTGAAGGAGACTGATGATTATAAATTCTGGATTCAATGTTGTGGTGCTTCAATACAGTTGATTGTGAACTGTTCTGGATTCAATTATCTTATTTTTATTAAAGGTCACACATTGGCATTCCATTAATATATGATCAATGTTCAAACTACTAGTATTCTGTAAAACAATTATAATGGGCAATATTCAATTTTTTGCACTTCCCATTTTTTTACTTCATCGTTTCTGCACAAGTGTATGTTTGTGTATAGCATTGATCCTGAGATATTCACTTTTTCTAAGGATTCCCTACTGCCAAACGCAGCATGGAGGTACCTGCATGGAAAAGGGGGCTAAGATTCCTGCAAATAAAGAAGCAAAGCTTCCCTGCTCCAGTTCACTCTATTGCGGTACATTTTTGCTAATTTTATTATATTTAAGCATGTACTTCATCAATTTTAAACATTTATTAGATCTTCTTCTACCTTTCACAAACTATCACAAGATTCATGCATTAAAAAAATGGGTTTATTGCAAATTATATCTTATTGGCATGAAATATAATGATGATGCTTCAAACTATTTTAGTTTCTGCAGACAAGCTACTGACAACAGAGTCCAAACACATTGTTTTTTTTTAAAGCGTTTGCAGAAACATGACATCTTTTGATCTTCAAATAAATCTGTGTAAACTGTGCAGATGAGTTTGTATGAAGATCTTGCAGCAGCTTGGGTACCTGCAAAACATGAATGGCTGTGGCCACGCCTTTTAGGTCAAGAACTCGTCAATAGATTGGGACGACAAAAGATGTTCAAGTATTGTGCCTGTATGTTGAACATTGTTCCATTTATTACAATGATATGAGCAGTGTTATTTCTAACTCTGTGTTTTGTTTTGTTGCTTATTCTTATTGGCTCAAGTTTCAACTTATATTGTTCATTTTAGTGAACAACTTTGTGTATACTGGCCAGAGCCATGGGAATCATGACACTACTTGATTCAAATGATTCTTACAGAAACTAACAATATTTGGTTGAATTTTAATTTATATAGATAGTTTTTTGATTAGCCTATTTAAATAACAAATGACTTATTAATTCTTTGTTTGTTCAAGAAAAACTCGATTGTATGTTTCAAAGCATTTATAGAACTATATTGTATTCTATGAGTTGAGAACTTGGACTTGCGATAACTGGCTTTTACCACACCCATGATCCCATGTTTTGAACCATCACCCATTATCAACTGAGGTCTTTTCTTTTTAGGCCATCCCCGAGCAACTGCTATTGTTTATGATTACTGATATCAATATGGATTGATGATTGTTTCTTTATGAAATTTTCTCTTATTGAGAATTAGCTTATATTTCCATTTCACTGTTATAATTACCTATTGAGAATTAGTCTTTTGTTGAGAATTCAAAGCTTCACCGTGAGGTATTGATCTCTCTCTCTCTCTCTCTCTCTTTCTCGATTTGTGTTATAGCTTATCTAGAAATACTAGATCAACAGGCTTTTCCCACATCTTTTCTCAGTTGCTACAACAACAAAATGTGTTCCCAGAGTTCATGTTCAATTTTTATTTAGGCTGATAACCTGTTCGTGTTTGGTTTTCCTCCCAGATATATGTTCCAACAAATCCTCGTGGTGCAGAGTCCTTACCTCCAGCAATTGTAGTCTCTCAGTTCGATTTTTATTTGCGAAGGTTATGGGGTGAACCCAGTGAGGTATGTTGTTCAACACAAGTAACTGTGTTATGGTGCTAGAGCTTGCAGTTATTTACCTATTTTAGATGGTCAATCATTGTAAAGTTTTTAATTTCTTGTTAACTCTCTAACTCAACTATGACCATATGTGATTTTGGAAGTCCTAATAGAGTAGACATTGTTGTTTAGCGAGTAAATATCAAAAAATAAAAAGAATGAAAAATTCATCACATATCTAAGACCATGGCATATTCTACTTAATAATTCTTTAACTAGAGTTTTCTCATCTTTGAAATGTTCTTGTCAAAGGCTTAATGGATATTACTCTTATCATCGTTTTTTGAAATTGTGTGGAACTTGTTTGCGAAACTGTAATTTTCAGGTTTTGGTTATTTTTTAATGTGTGATGCTTAGATTTGTTAAGATTGGTACGGTTGGGTTGGCTGCTTGTAGATTTAATTGGCTTCTCATTGTTGGTGAGAAGAGAGTGAGAAACCCTCACATCATAAAATACTAAAAATTGGAATAAGTGCAAAAAGAAACCGTCTCATACTATGACATTTCCATTGATTTGGCATGTGTGTAATTACTCTCATAACTCCAATTATCTTATGGAGAACGTTCTGTTAACTTTCATGATTTGACAATAAAGCCGAAATACTTGGTAACATTCACAGTTGGTTTGGATCAGAGAAACAACGTTGATGCAGCAGTTAAAAAGGTTACACAAATGGACCATTCCATTATATGTATTATTTTTATGATGTTGCAAGTAGAGGTTTGTAATCTTATTTTATTTTTTGATAGTTTTTTGACGATTTTCAAATTATGCTTTTTCATTATGATAGCTGGACAAGTGAATGGGATCAATTTGAGTGGTCAAAGAGGGCCAACCATGTCAGTGTAAGAAAGAAAACAAAATGGTATGATGCTTTAGTATTTTACATATTTTTGGTGTTATACCACATTTTCCACTATACCATGTTTGAAAAGAGAACTCATAAAACAGAGATATGATACCCTTTCTTTATTGGGAAAGGAAATAAAGACTGATTTTTTGTTCACTAATATTGCATCCTTTCGTAGATTCAAAGGACCATTATAAGATTTGCTACCAGTTGTGTTTCTGCTGAGGAATTGGTGGGAAAAATTTATTAAAAACAAGAGGATGGGAGTTATTGAGGAGTTGGTGAAAAAAATTCATAAAAAATTCATTAGATAGAGGAATTGCCACTGCAAGAATTTCATGGCCACACTAGTGATGTCTTGGATCTGGCCTGGTCCAAATCTAATGTGAGTTATTGCTTGCGTGCAAAATTCGTTTAAAATTTTCCCATTTGTTTAAAAAAACATAATGTTTTTGGGGTTAATTTGTTGCAGCGTCTTCTTTCATCGTCGAAGGATAAAACTGTTCGTCTATGGCAAGTGGGCTGCAATAAATGTATTAGTGTTTTCCAACACAATGACTATAGTTAGTACTGTTAGCTATTTGTAATAATATATAAACTATTGATTCAGATCATAATATGTATATGTATCTTGTTGAATCTATTGCCTTTTGAGTGTTATTACAAATTAATATATTGTTTATGTTATCTTTATGGTATATCGGTGACATGCATTCAGTTCAATCCAGTCAATGAAAATTACTCAATGAGTGGCTCTATAGACGGAAAAGCTCGAATTTGGGGAGTGACCGAGAGACAAGTTATTGATTGGGCTGATGTGAGAGATGTGGTAACTGCTATATGTTACCACCCAGATGGCAAAGTATGGCTGCAAAACACTTGATTTCCATCTCATGAATTATTTTATACTACTTTTACTTTGTGCTTTACTAATAATATATTGCAGCTTATGACGTTCACTCTAACGATGGTTTCTTCTGTATCTTTTTTCTTTATCAATGCAGGGCTTTATAGTGGGCTCTGTCACCAGCACCTGCCGGTTTTATGGAGCATTAGGTGCTACCTACTTTCCCAACTATGTTTCTCAGTAGTTAATTCTATCAATTTGTTTCTTTCTGCATAAATTGTCTAATTTGTTTTGTTTTCTTGGTTGGTGCAGATGGAAATCTCCAACTAACTACAGTGATAAATTTCTGGGGTAGAAAAGTACTTACATGTATAATTAATTTGAATTGCATCTGTTGTGCCGATCTATTTTGTAATAACTTTCAACTTACTATTAGGCACTAGTTTTTACTTCATCTTGGAATTGAAATATTTTTGCATATTGAGAAGCATGAATCGATCTAGTATTATGTTTACCTAAATTTAGTCAATATATTGAATATTTTTCAGCTTTATTATAGGTATTTTTTTTAGTTAAATCTTATAGAATTAGCACAATTTTAAAAAAATAAAATAAAAATAAAAATGAAGCTATAGCGGTGGTTTTAAAAGCCACTATAGAACAATGCCAACAGGTTATATTTTTTAAAAAAGGAAAGATCTATCACGGCGTTTTTAAAATATCGCTAAATATGGCATGACGTCATCGTATTGTCATACAGCACATTTAGCGGCGTGTTCAAAAACGCCACTTAAACTAATATAGCGACGCTTTTAAAGCGTCATAAAGCTACAACGATGACCGCATCTTCGATGTTTGGTAATAAACGTCACAAAAAAAATTAGCAGCGTTTTTTTAGTTATAGCGGCGTTTTTTAAACGTCACTAAAAGTCTAATTTCCAGCCATGCATTCTAGCCCATTTGGTTAGATTCTCCCCTATCCAAAAAATTTGAGTGCCCTTAATGCCCTTAAAACTTTTCATCCACAAAATTTAGATGCCTCAGGGCCTAACCCCAAGTCGAAGGTTAGACTAAATAAAGTTAACAAACTTTCACAAAAAAAATATATGTAGAACAAAAGCTAGCATTTTTCAATCAATATTCAAACAGTGATTTTGGAATTAATTTCTTGTTCGTTCCTTAATGATTTTGAGCAAATTAAAGTTTAATTTTTGTTCAAAATTGACCAAAAAAATTATTTTTGTAGAACCATATTCTAATAGTTTTATTGACTACAAATAGATTGATGTTTGGGTATATTCTGTTGGAACGATCTTCTGTGTACAACAAATAAATTGAAACCAAATCAAACAAATAAAATAAATAATGTACTGAATTTATTTTACTGAACCGAATGAATAATAAAAAGATCAAGTTGAGTGTGTGACACTTTGTCCTTTAGATAGATTCGCCCCGCTACGGTGTTTACGGAAAAATAGCGTCTATCTCTCAAGATACAATGATCTTCACAAATTGTAGTAGCACTCCAAACAATTTGTTCGGCGAACAAAACTTGTGTTCTAAACTCTCTGAATTTTTTCTTAAAATAATGTGAAGAATAATTGATGCAAGAGAGTAAAATGAAGGCAACCAAAATGAATTTAAAGTTTATTTTGCAGACTATTTTTTGGATCCAAAACACTGCTGGAAAATGCTGGTATATATAGGCAAATTGCAAACTCGAACAGGTATTAATTTCAAACTGGAACAGATTCAATTCAAACCAATAAGTGCAACACTGTTTGAACAGATAATTGCTGGAGTTTGAATTTGTTGGTAACTGCTGGACAGATTTAAATATGTCTGGGCAGTTTTATAACTGTTGAACAGATCTGTCTGAGCAGTTTCAATCTGTTCGAAATTTGAAATTGTTATGGAATTTGGAAGAGGCACAAATTTTGGACAAAAATTTGAATTCAAATATAATTTGAAATTCAAATAATTTCCTGCAACTCAAATGAATTTTGTCCAAAAAATTAAAGTTAGAACTGATTTGACCTATACCCGCGCCTGATCGGATGGACGGCGACGGCGGCGGCGCGCACGTGCGCGTGTGTGGTTTGGGCTAAGGTTCTATTTACCTATAACTCCCCTCTTCTACAAACTTGGGGTACCCTTTGGGGCCCAACCCAAGTGTTGTCACTTAGAACTTATATACACACATAAGTTTTCTTTAAGTTTCAATGTGGGACAACTCATTTCAAGGAAACACATATTTAATTCTTTAAATGTTCATTCTACGAACCCGAAAATGACGTCAACTTTCTATTTACTCATAAATAGTTTTGACGAACCGTCTTCACCGTGTGACTTGCCATGAGGCAATGAACACATCACCTCTTCGGACTCACCTCAAAAGATGTGTGGACCCCACTCAAACTTGGGCTAAAAAATAGCCCAAAATAAGCGTATAAAACTAAATTTTCCAACAATCCCCCACGTGAATGGAATTTGATGGAGAAAAATGCAACAACATGATCTAATCACAAAGAGTACAGAAATTGGGAATATTCTGTAAAGGATAAGTAGTTTTTGGCTTTGAACCTTCCCTTGTGAGCATTATGGGATTTACTAGCTAACCAGTGAACATGATGTCTTGAACTGTTCATACATTTGTGTAAATCAAGACAATAGAACTCACACAGTATATCACCATACACAGTTTAATTCTCATTATTGTGTTCATTTGGCCCTAAATAACCTGGTCTTTCATAAGTGCTCTAGAGAATTGTAGCCCTTCACAAATCTCATAGAACCGGCCCAGTTCACACTCACATAGGTGATTCTTATGAAGAGTATCATGCCATACTCTACACGGTTTATCTAGATATAAGAATCATTAAAAGTATTACTTAACCTAAAAATGCTGCAAACATCACTATTTCATCATAGAAATGGGTAGGAGTTGGACTCCCCAGTGATTCTTCTGAGTCATACACAGCTCGGTTGTCCTTTTGAACCTAGATCTTAGGATCTCCAGTCAACTAGGTTGGGTTGCCATTGTGGTAACTCTTATTTAATAGGCTTAAGTTCCATTCCACTCGATGAATTCTCAACTATCTCTCTTGCTAACCATGTGGTTAGTGAATCCGCTATGTTGTCTTTAGACTTCACACATTCAATGGAAATAATTCCATTAGAGAGTAGTTTTCTTATGGTGTTATGTCAACGACGAATGTGCCATGACTTACCGTTATACATATGACTCTGTGCTTTACCTATTACTGATTGACTATCACAATGTATGCAAATAGTAGGCACCGGTTTTGGCCACATTGGAATATCTTCAAGGAAGTGGCGAAGCTAGTCTGCTTCTTCCCCAGCTTTATCTAAAGCTACGAATTCTGATTCCATAGTAGACCTAGCAATGCAAGTCTGTTTGGAAGATTTCTAAGATACAATTGTACCACCAAGAGTAAAGACATACCCACTGGTGGACTTTGAGTCTCTAGTATCCGATATCCAATTTGTATCACAGTATCCTTCAAGTACTACTAGATATCTAGTATAATTGTGCCCAATGTTACGAGTAAATATGAGGTATCTTAGAGCCCTTATAATTGCTTTCCAGTGTTCTACTCCTGGATTACTCGTATATCTACTTAATTTACTTACTGCATAAGCTATATCTAGGCGAGTGGAGTTCACCAAGTACATTAAGCTTCCAATAATTTGGCATACTCTAATTGAGAAATAATTTCCTGTACATTCTTAGAAAGAAACAAATTAATAGTGTAACAACCCTCGTCACTGTTTACCGAATAACCACTGATTACCGTTAAACTGAAACTGATTATGACTGATAAGTGAACTAAATAAACTACTGAACTGACTAACTGAAATCTGAAACTGATTGATTAACTGTATCTGTTTAAATGCATTTCTATCTGTTGACTGTTTGACTATCTATTCATATTTTTGTGTTTAAATTTATGTGATTTTATAGTGTAATTACCTGAAAACTGATTAGGTATGATTAAATTAGATTAAATATTGATAAATTGCATAGTTGGCCTTATTTACATTGGTGCCACCTAGTGGCCCACTACTTGGACTATTGTTGAGCCTTATTATACTCTTTACCAAACATTTCATCAGCCATTGAGTGACACTTAACCGAGAGAGAGGGAGAGAAAGGAGAAAGCTTAGCTTCATCTTGAGTTTTGCTTGGTAATTAAAGAGTTCTTTGCAAAATTGAGCTTGTACATCTTGAACTACAAGACCTAAGGTAGATTTATTGTCTCTTGTGTATGTTTTGAATTGATTCTTGTATGGTTTTGAACAAGTTGAAGTCTAGAGCCAAGCTATGGCTCTTAATTGTTGAATTATAGCTTAATTAATGCATGCATGTTTGAATTGTTGAATTTTGAGTTGATTCCATGGAGAATTGTCACATGCATGGTCATAGTTATGTTAAGTCCATGTTTTCATCTTGTTTTGTAAGAGTTAGCTCATTAGAGCATGAAATTGAAGCTTTGAAATGGTTTAAATTCATGCATGTTTGCATGTTTTTCATATTCATGTAACTTGGTTTGAAATTGAGTTGTTTGAAACACCCTTGGGCTTTGATTTTACAAATTGAGCCTTGAATCATGTTAAAGTATGAGTTTTGATGTGTTTTCTGGAAAATTGGCCCAAGAGGATCGAAATTTATGGTTTAAAACTTGGTTTTGAGCTTGAGGTTCAAATCTGGAATTTCCAGAATTTGGACTCACGCTCAAGCGGGGTGACTGGCGCTCGAGCGTGGAAATCGTGCTCCCAGCACTTTGTTCTGTTTTGAAATCCGCTCGAGCGGACTAATTGACGCTCGAGCAGGACATTGTGTCTCATGCTCGAGCGGGTGTTGAGCGCCCAATCGAGCGTGATTTTCACCTATCCAGCACTTTTAACTGTTTTGCAGAACGCTCGAGCGGGTAAGTCTACGCTCGAGCGGAAACCTTTTTCTGCATGTCCGCTCGAGCGGAGTAACCTACGCTCGAGCGTGACCCATGTTTTCTGAAAATGTTTTTAAAGTGTATCTTTGCATTCTCATCTCATCCTAGGCATTATTAGGCCTAGTTTAAAGCATCTTAACGAGGATATAGATGTAGAACACACCGAGGCAAATTAGGGATTAAGTTATTATCCTTCCCAATTGTGTAGCTTAGTGTGTGTTCAATCTGTAACTGTGTAGGGTTGGCTTTCCGAGGAGACGCTCTAGCCTTACTGTAGCCCAGAACTCTGTGAGTAACAACTGTGTAAGGATATGTTCAAAATGATTATCTTCTGAACAATTGAACTGTACTGCTTTCTGAACTGTTGCTGTTAATTGAATGAATATATGTCCTATATTCTGAACTGTATTGTGGCATCCTTAGCAACTACTGTTTACTGTTACTGTTACAGAGATCTCTGTCGGTTCCCTTGTTGGAACCACTACTGTTACTGACTGATGGCCATCATTTACTGTTCGGTCTTTTAAGACCTACTATTTGCTGTATTGTTATGCTAATGGATGTACCATATATGACTGAATGACT